GGCCCCTGGGGGTGGAGGCGACAGATGAGAGGCAGACAGAGGGCCTCCGGGCAGCGCCCGACCGGGACCCGCGTGTGTCCCTGCTTGTCTCCGCGCTGCTCTGTGTGGGCTGTTTGCTGTCTGAGGGAGGAGCCAAGCCCCGAGGTGTGAAGTTGGTCTCCGGACGCGAGGATGCGCTGGTTCTGAGGGCCAGTCACCTGCCCACTGGGACCCACTCGCTGGGGTGTCTGTGGACTTGACCTGGGACCAGCCACCCCCTGGTTCTTCGGCTCGGACCCAACCTCTCGGCCCCTGTGTCCGGCTGCTCTCATGCCGCACGCCTTCACCCGGACAGAACTCCTCGCGAGCCACGGTCACTGTAGGAGGCGGTGCCTCCCTTTTAGTTGGCTAATCCTCACCCGGGGACATGTTCCCATGGATTTTTAGAGAGAGGAGAAGGGAGGGGAGAGGCAGAGAGAGAGAGAAATATGGATGTGAGAGAGACACATCAATTGGCTGCCTCCTGCTATTACCCCATGGGAGGTGACCCAAACCCCACGAACGGGCCCTTGACTGGAATCGAACGCAGGACCCTTCAGTCTACAGACCAATGCTCTATCCACTGAGCCATACCAGCCAGGGCAGTGCCATATATATTTTACTTTATTGATTTCAGAGAGGAAGGGAGAGGGAGAGAGAGAAACATCAGTGATGAGAGAGAATCATCGATCGGCTGCCTCCTGCACGCCCCCTACTGGGGACCGAGCCTGCAACCCTGGCATGTGCCCCGACCGGGAATCGAATCTGGTCCCTTCAGTCCGCAGGCCGGACCAGCCAGGGCGGCGCCTCTCTCTTTAAGCACTAAAGTCTGGGAACGTTCTGGACCCAGCTCCCTCCAAGCACGGCCCGCGCCCCAGCTCTGCTCGTAACGAGTGTGGCTGTGGGCTGACCCCTGGGAAGGTGTCTCGAGGGACGTGGTTTCGAACCCTGTGGGCCGGTCTGGGAGCGTGTGACGGGGTGCCCGCCGCACGAAGCCCGCATGACACCTGTGACGCGTGCTGGCCCTGGCGCTGGGCGTGGGTCCCTCTCCTGCTGCGGACGCCCCGAACCTGCCACTGAGCCTGTGCTGCCCTGCGGGTGGGCAGTGCCCGTGGGCAGCTTGTTCACGGGGCAGGCGTCGTGGCCACTCCTTGGGGCCCACACACACCTTAGAGAATCCTAGTGCTGTGGCGGCTAAGGAGGCCCTGGAAGGCAAGCAGGGGACGGGCCTCCGTGCTCAGCATGGCGCCCGCAGCTCTCCCAGGCTTTGAGATGCGCTCTCTCTTGTGGGATGTGGAGTGACCGCTGTGCGTCCTTCCCGGCTCTGGGATCTGTGTGTGCGGCTTAGAGAGGAGCAGCCACACGCGTCGTGTTCGCCTGCTCGCTGTTTCAGGCCATTAGGGGCACGTGTCAGAAATCTCCAAACACGAGAACTTATCCCCAAATGCTCGCTGTGCCCCGACCATCCTCTGATCAGGGGAGGTGAAAATGTGCTTGTTTTCAGAGCCGGAAAACTAGTCTTGACTAGCGTGTGGTCCATCCGTATCGGGAATAAACCCAGAAAGCATAATGCAAGTCATATGTGTACAAAACCGCAAGGGAGAGTGTGAGGGGCGGCCGCGTGTGCCTGTGCGTGCCAACCTGGAAATCGGAGGCTTGTGTTTAAGATCGTTTTTAAAAAGTAAAATTGATTAAAAATCAAAGGCAATTTTATGCTCTTTTAGAACTGAGGCCAGTTCCGTCACTAACATGTACAGATGCCGTTCTAATGAAATTTCACGAACTACTTCGGGAAATGCTGCCTGAATCTCATGATGGGCAGCCCCGCCCCCTGGGAACCTCACCCCCTGGGAGCCTGAGGGTATAATCCAAGCATGTCAAACGCAAAGGCCAACACGGGCCAAATAAACAAGGTTTAAGTTCACGTGGGCCGCAAAAAAACAAAAGCTTCAGTATTCATAGAAACATAGGTTATTTCGATAGAGACGTGCTGAATACAAAGGGCTGAAATAAATGAGTCATCGTTAACAAAAGAATAGAACATTTTAACAAAAATTAACATTTTTTCTTTAACATTAACTTACCAGACACTGAACAACTGCACAAATTAATAAGCGTCACACAAATAAACCTATTTTTCTTGTTCTCCAAAAGCGAAATATTTCCTGTTGCGCACACCAAACAAGTCAGTCCAAAACTAATGACGTGGCCATCGGCTGCTAAAATATTCCCTGCTGGTATTAGTGGAGAGAAATGGTGCGCCTGCGCGTAAGGTGCGTAAGGGAAATGAATGCAACACGATTAGAATCATCAGTCACTAGTGAACGTTGTAGTTCGTTATTAATAATTATGTATAACAGGATATTGTAAAAGTCAAGTTACAAAATTTTTATTAAAACGTTTCTTACATACCGTTACATTGTCTGGGCCGCAAAAATATTCGTTGTGGGCCGCATGCTGCCCGTGGGCTGCCAGCTTGACACGGTTGGTGTGATCCCTGCTCCTGGACAGGTGACCACCGGCTCAGTGGGTTTCATTTTTACTTTATTTTCTCAAATCAGCTAAGCCGTGAGGCTTGTAACTAGGAACAGCTTTGGGTTTTGGCATGTTCTGATTTCGTGTGTGTGTGTGTGTGTGTGTGTACGCACACACTCCTTTACATGATAACAGGAATCCTGCCATTCATAATAGGAAGGAAGTGTTACTTGTGGCAACGACACACTTCAACGGAGCAAATGGATTCACGGCAAAAGGTGTGATTCTGACGTCAGAAGCCGCGTTCGCTGTCTGTGCCTCGGACCCCACATCTGTAAGATGAGGTGACAGTGGCCACCTCGCGGGCGGCCGGCCAGTTGTAGTCACAGCCAGTCCCGTACCCGCATCCCCTGAGCTCAGCCAGCGACAGCGAGCGGGTGCCAGGTAGCCTTCCACTCAGAAGCTATGGTGACTGTGTAACAGACACAGCTGCCGTCTCTCCCTGGGCTACCAAGAGGCGCTTGGAGAAGCGGGGTTTCCGATGACGGGGACTTTAATGCTCTATTCCGTCTCTATGTATATGTGGCTGCATTATCTGCTTATTTAAAATTATTCCTTATTTAAAGAAAGAACGAATAAAAAGCAGCTCAGAGATGTGCGTTCACACTGAAAAGGAAGCAGAACGTAAAAGATGAAAGAGCAGGGATGGCCTGAGAATGTAGACGCTGAGCTGGCCGAGCCGCGGCCCCACCTCTGAGCGCGAGCAGCCGGGATGCGAGGGAGGGGACGCTCCCCATCCTGTGTCGTCAGATACAGACAGAGGCCGGGTTTCCTGGGACCGTCCCCACCGGGTCTCCACTGGGAGCCGCAGCATCGCCATTGCCATAGCAACCAGCTGTGGACTTTTCTCTGGATGGGTGCCCTGCGGAGGGCTGAGAGCTGAGCTGGGGGAGGAGATGGGGGTCCCGCCTAGAGCCGAGACGGACGTCCCCCCAGGGGCTCCTGAACACGGTGCTGCAGGCTCTCTCGTGGGCTGTGCGTCCTTGGTGTGCCCTTCGCACTGGGCTCCAGGCTCGGAGCGTGAAGGGTTCCCTCCACACGTGTTCCATGGGCATGCGATTGGCTTTGAAAGGATGTGCACTCGTGTCCTTAACTCTGAGAAGTACACAGTGTTTTAATCACATACGAAGCACAGCCCACACGCAGGTAGTGAAAGAACAAAGGCGGTGATCCAACCTTCTGGGGAAAACAAAGCTTTTCCAGCTGCTTCCCCGATGTCAGAGGCCCCTCGGCGGCCTCACTGTGAGTCAGGGAGTGCGTGGGCGCATGTGTGTACATGTGTGCGCGCATGTATAGGTGTATGTGCATGTGTTCATGTGCACACCTGTGGTGCATGTGTGTCTGTGTGCACATGTGAAGGTGTGTGTTCATGTGAGTGCACACGTGTGCTTGTGTGTATGCACATCCGTGTGCAGACATGCCTGTGTGTTTCTAAGAAAATGACTTCCATGAGAATGAGTTCTGCAGCGTTTCACATTAAATGCAACACCTTGCTGTGCGGTGCTGATGAGATAGCCTGACGTTAAAGACACTTTTTCTGGCTTCTCGGTTGTGAAGGGTTTTTATCAAGTGTGTTACGAATTTGATGCTCCTTGGGGGACATCCATTATAAGAACGAGGTCCCCCCCGATGCATCAATTATGCTTCCAATGTGGAGTCACGCCTCCGCCCCGGCATGTGGCCGGCATGACCGGGATGCTCCTTCCTCCCCACCGGCTGTGCGTGAGCCGCGTTTTATCTGGAATCTGTGCACGTTTGTTCGGAAGCCGGGCTGCTGTGGGTTAGCATGCCGGTGGCACTGGGAACACGGGCCGCATTTCCCCGTGGACACAGACTGGAGCCAGGAGAGCGTGGCCGTCCCCGCGTGGAGCTGGAGGTGGGGGGGGGCGGGGACCCCGGGCACGAGCGGCGCCCTGTCCTGTGTGTCCCTGCAGCCTCCACAGGTGCGCCCGCTGCCTCCGCGTGGAAGCCGCTTGTGTCTGAAACAGAGAAACCGCAGGAATCAGGCAGAGCTCTGACAGCTGACCTGTAAATCCCACGGAGCCCACCTTCCTGTTGGCGGTTTCCATCGCAAAATCCCTCGTGTGCTCAGCTTCCCCTGCAGCCGGCGCTGAACCAGCCCCGACCTGCC